ATAATTTTTATTTATATTAAAAAATAATTAAAAAGTTATTTTAAGTATTTAAAGCTTTTATTAGATTTTAAGCTTTTATATAATTATTATTATATTTAAGGTATAGCTTATACCTTTATAGTAACGTGATATCTATATAATAATTATTAATCCGCGCATTGAGAAGGGCAGACAGGATCGAGGTAAGAGTGTGGAAAGGCGAGCAACAGTCTCGTGAATCTATTCGCATGGAGCCGAGCTTGAGAATAACAATTACAACCTTCTCTGCACCGACTGTTATATTATGAAGCGGCATATCAGTCAACTGTTTGCGGCAGAGTCGACGACAGCTGTAATCTTGCACCTTTACAACTATGTTAGTCGCAAAGCATTCAACAAAGACCTGTGCGTTACAAAAGAATAATAAATAAAAGAGGCTCTGTGGAATGGACCAGATCGCATTCTCAAGACTCAGGAAGACGTACAGCCTAATTGCTTCATAAGAAAGCAAACACCAATATATTATAATGTAGCGCATTCGAGCATGTCTTTATTATTTGGGATGGATTTAGCAGACCTGTTAGGACCTGTCAGCCTGTATTCCCACAATACGAGACCACTGGAAATACGGCAAGCTGTTGGCCGTGACTGCTTCCAAAGGCGCGCGTAAAGGTTCGTCTCTCATAATTTGCGACAACATCTGGTGCCCCTTGTTGTCGGGTCCTCGAACCAAATTTTCGCAGCGGCAAAAAGGACAGCGGGTGACTATGCAGCCCACCATTTGGGGTACAGTGATCTCCATTCGGTCGTAGGATCCATGAACTTCTCCTTATACAGAGACCACCTTCTCCGGATCAAAACCAGCAGCCTGGTCAAAGTAGTACCCCCTCTGGTTGGTAATTAGCCTCAAGGGCTCGACGCCATTGCCTCGGTCAAGCGAAAAATCGCAGTTGTAATGGGTGTGCCCGAATGCCCACGCCTTGACTTTGCTGCTCTTGAAGCAAGGCTGCTCCGACATATCAGTAGCGAAAGCACTGGCGATGGAGCTTCCGGCGTGCTTTGGGTCCATGGCACGAGGATCCAGCGAAGGGCTCCAGTGCGAAAGGATGATGATGCGAACATTGGAGCGGTCCAGGTCAGCGACCTGGCGGTTGAGCCAGGCGACATCCCGTTGATGCATGTCGTTGTGGGTGTCTGTGGTCCAGTCGGTTGTCTGGTAGAAGTCGTTGATGCCCATGCCAACAGCCAGGTGTTTATCGGGAAAGATGTGAGAGAAAAGGCTGCAGCCGAGAACGACGACGTTTGTACCCGGTAGGCGGTAGGCGGCTCGGTCGAGGAGGATGAATTCCCCAAGAGACGCGTCGTCACGGGTTTCCTTCTCAAAGATGCGCAGAAGTTGAATGGTGTCGTCCCAGTTGGAGCGGTACGCCTCGTGATTGCCGGGGACAAACAGCACAGCCTTGAACTGCTTCAGCTGTCGAGCTAGAAATGCAAGGCAGTCGGTGTTGTGTGCTTCGATGTAGCCACTGTCTCCAAGGAGAGCCAAGTATGGTGCCGTGGGAGTAATGTCGAATAAGTCGTAAGTCATGGGAGACTCTAGATGTATGTCGGAGATGATCTGGACCGCCATGACGGATGAAGATGGCGCAGTCTGGGTGCTCTGACGCATCTTGTAAAAAGAAAAAGGCACCGGTTTGTGTTTGGAGTATGTGCATAGTGTCAACTGGTGTGTCATCACGCATCACGCACTGTGTTTGCTCGGGTGGAGACGGTCCGGTTGGCGTCAAAAGGCACATGCACCTACCCTAGAGCTGGTATCTTCTGCCTGCTCTGTTGGATTTCGGCTGTGCCCAGATCTCATCAATAGCTGAACTCTATCAAGACATGTCTGGTCACACAGAGGATCTTCATCGCATTAAAGACTTCGATGTTGGAGTTACTGAACACGGGGGCGGGAGCGCACTTGTCACCACAGCCACGCGGCTGGGGGGGAAATCCAGACGGCACTGCAATTAGTATTATCGCCCCATGAAGCACCATACCGCACAGCTCATCCTGGCCAAAGCCAAAAGAAGGTCCTTGCTACTTACATGTGTACGGAAAGTGAGGGCCATTGTGCCAGAGCCGTGCTCTGCAGTCGCCCAGGCCTCGAGTGTTCCAGAGTCCTGTCGATGCCGAGTGCCATTTCACAACCAACAGCTTCAAAGACCAACCAACATCATCTTTGTTGCAAGTATGGAGTGCCGATGGTTACCTGCACCGGGTGACTCCGCTTCATGCCGTGTTACCCTGTTGGTTGGTGGTGCGGTCTGAGTCCTGACTGATCAATGGACTTGCTCATTTCTATGGGCCACAACTGTTTTCACCCGTGTGAGATCAAGCTATGTTTCAATTTTTGTCACGAAAAAATCATACACGGATCTACAGATCTTCTATGGTATAATTCCACCCGGACGGAATGTCATCCGCCACAACAGCCTCGGGATCGGGGCCCCAGCTCGTATAGTCGACAATAGCTCCATTCTCAACATGAAGCCTCCTGCTACCGAGGTTTACGGTTCGCTGAGATGCCCAATTCTGAATCTTGTCGAAATTTCGGCACATGTGAACCACTTCAAGCTCCGTCTTCGTAATCTTCTTGCTCTCCAGCCACTTGTACGTGATCAAACTGGTGTCCGAGTGGCACATGATGGATTGGCGAAGCGACTCTACAGAATGGTCTATCGTTTGATTCCATCAGTATGCGGGACGTGGAGTTTTCCAGGCGGCCAGTTTCCTTCTCACCTATGTGCAGCCATTGAATGTATTTGACTGTGCCGTCAGGGTTTGTCAACGATGTGTTGTACCGCCGGGGATAGAAGGCCATTCGAATCTGATTCTGCTTCCAGTGTAAGCTTTACTTCCAATGTCACCCAGCATCTCTGACCGAGCACCTACCAGATAGTGTAGCTGGTGGAATACGTCTAGGCCAACCATGAGGTCGTTCAACATGTATAAAAGTGCCGACTATTGAAGAGCTTAGGGCGGCTGCATCAAGACGATGGGAGACCCTCTTACCGCCATAGAGCTCTTGCCATAATCGGTCGGTCTCGTCCGTCGGAAAGCCCTGGTATGGAGAGCTGGCGTGACTATTTCCCAGCTTGAAGAGGACGGGGACATATTCCACCGCATCTTCCGCTGGACCTTGAAGGAGGAGTTAGTCTAGGGATTTAGAAGAACGTCCGAATTGCAGCCGAATCAAAGGAAAATGGCCAGTACTTACTATAACTACCTCCTTGGTCATCGGGACTCGCCTTGCATCGGGCTGTGAATTTACCCACAATCACCAGGACAAGTGAGACAAGAAGTATGGCATTGAGAGCCCAAGAGACAAGAACAGAATGGTTTAAAACTGCGCTTGACTCTATGGTACCACGAGCCAGAACGGTAGAAAAGAAGCGAAGAGGGCAATAGACTTTGGCTGTCATGTGCGCTGAGTCCATCATCGTCTTCGTCGCCGCCCATCTCGGCGACTGGATCTTCTTTGAAGTGGCCTAGCGACATCGTGATAGCAGGCGAATATCGTTCTATGGGCGGATCGCCTGAACTTGGCGTGAAACAACTGAGAGTGTATATCGGAATTCGATTCTCGGCCAACCTCGAAGAAAGCTGCCCAATCCATTCTGCAACCCTCGCCTGGGCCCAGCGTCCTATCAAAGGGCCAGCAGGTCAATCGAAGCCAAGCCAACGCCAACTTGCATTTGCAAGGATTGCCGTTATGACTGATCCCCGGAACAACTCGGCATTTGTGACCGTCCATTTTGGTTCGATATGCTGTACCACAAGTACTGCATATTCATCTGTTGGTCTTCACTCCAGATGCGCCGAGACAAGTCGGAGTGTCTGTCCAAGTGACAGTCGCAAGAGTCTGCCATCGGAAGCCCTCCTTCGGGTTTCCGGCCGGTTTCGGGCGTTATCATCCCATCATCTATGATGCTGCGCTGTTGAGCTTACACGACCTCTTTCTTTCATTCTCCAAGGTCACAAGATGAGCTTTTTGCCAAAGTCGATTATGGCTCCCATCTCAAGCTACGCATACACGCCCATCCCCGTCAACTTGGACCATGGAAAGTCTGAGCCATATCATTTACAGGAAGGGTTGAACGAGAATAGCACTTCAGATCTTGAACTAAGAGACCGACGACGGCAACTTTTCCTGGTCGTTTTGACCTCGCTGTCTTTACTATGTCTCATGATCTTGAGCATGGCTCTGGGGCACCTTACTGTCACCAACTCCGACTGCGGCAGACAGCTTTCCACTTGGTGTAAGTTGCATGACAGGCAGAGCATGGAATAGGAGCGGTTAACTTGTTGCTAGCACCGGCATTCGAAGCTGTCGAGTATTACCAAACGACATTTGAGGGAGAATTTCTGGCTCCGTCAGTCTGGCGAGGCCCGCCCTTTCCAGAATTGGATGAAGCATGGAACCGCATCTCCATACGAGGCACGGGGAGCTTGAGAATCGCAAAATACGATCTTTCACGGCTCAACAAATCAGCCGACGCGGAAATTACTGCCGGCTTCGGAGACGGTACGAATGATGTACAAGTTTTGCTGGAGGTCTTCCATCAGCTCCACTGTCTGGTGTGTCTGTCGTCAGATTTTCCCCCTTCAAGCTCAATGCTTACAAGAGTCATGTTACAGAATGAAATCCGCAAGCACACCTGGCCTGAATACTACAAGTTTGACGCGCCGCCCAAGGTAGAGCGAGCGCACCTCGGTATGCCCATCACCATCTTCAAGTCAAGCCTTGATGCACCTAAGCTAACAGCTATGTGTTGATAACTTTCACAAGACCACTGTATTGAAATGCTGCGGATAAATTTAATGTGTACGGCAGACATGACCCCAATCACAGCCAAACAAGTTTCATGGAAGAACGGAGACGCTGCCCCGGATTTCAGCACTCTGCACACATGTCGGGACTTTTCCAAGATCCTAAAGCATGTCGAGGACCACGCGGATCTTTGGGGATTCTGGGCCTCGTAAGAGTTGGTGATGAGACCAAGAGACACAAAACGTAGTGGCTTCCGCGATCAAAGCTGCCGCCATGTTAGATGCGATACGGCATCGCAGATAGCAGTTGCTCGCGGAAAGTCACCAACTATACGCAGGCCGAAGTTGACACAATCTAGATAGTTCAATTGAGCCACTTTTTCCACTACTGATCGGTCCATACTCATAGCTAGTCACTTGGCTCGCTGCCATATCTTGGTAATCATTCCTAGGACGAGGATGATACACGCTTACCGCGTCACGAGTGCTGCTTCATGTGTACCGTGCTCTGTAAAACTAGAAACTTCCCACAGACTCAACCAACAAGACGAAGTGGCAAATGTGCAGCAACCATGCGTTGCATTTGATTGTCTGGCAGTCTCGAAACCGGCAATGATGACTTGACCAACCGCATATCCTTTTCCAGCCCCCAACATTGATCTGATGGTCCGAACTTGTTTATGGTTCGGACCGCTCGGCCCCCGAATTTCTTGATTCGCTGTTAAGGACGGAAGCTCTTGGCGGTGTGTTGGTCTGTGAGCATCGTAACTCAAGCCTACGGCCAATATTATGCAGCACCTTTGGAACCGGGTCTCGACTGGAGGGTGCTTTGACTATATGCACGTTCGGGAAGCATCAGTTCCGTCAAGTTCCATTTCGGAGCAAAGCCAACATGCAGAAGGGTACTTCCGTTCATGTGGGAATGGAATGACGTGGAAATGGCCAACTACCAAGGCAGAGGTGTTCACAGTGTATCATCACGCAAACGCACCTAATAGATTATGCATATTTAAAACTGAGTCCAGATTGGCAGTTGAATTGACGGCACATGTAGGACAGAACTGTCATACAATTCCGTTTAGCCATCAGGGGATAACAGGCATCGGGAGGTTGTCGTTGAAACAACGGAGACAGAACGATGCAAAAAAATACACCCAACTATTGGCAGCTATGATCACTCCGCATATCGCGCAAGAACAGACCGAATAGCGTATGCAGCTCCGTAACGAGTCTAGATTGGTAGGCGCTTGACTATGTGCGTGTTTGGATGCAACGATATGCTTTCCTCGATATGGAGACGGGAAAAAATGGAAAGATGCCAACATTTGAACTGTCAAGGCCGCCATGACCATGCCATACCATCGCGGCCCTTTGTCATCTATAAATCCAGCAACCTGCACCTCTTCCTAGCTGCTCTACTCAGTCTCCTCACAACCATACAAGCCGTCGAGCCACCCTGAAAAAGAATACAACCACACCAGCCAAGAACCTGAACACAGCAAGATGAAGTTCTCCGTCGCTCTCTTCGCCCTTGCCAGCTACCTTGCATCTGCCGCACCGACTGGCCCATCCCCTGGTGAGAAAGACCTCAGCGTTCTTGGTCCTTGGTTTTAGCTAACAGTAACAAAGATGCTTCTGGTCTCAGCAAAGGAGGTTTGCCAGCGGACTCGATCAAGGCTCGCATGAGCGATGATGCTGTCAAGTCGGCCCGGGTAAGGAGGCTATCAGCCACACATTTTCGTTTTGATCCAATCAAAGCAATGAAAACATGGCCGTCACTGACACTCTCTGCTTAGCACTCTGCGCGCCTGAACCCGGACGTGATTGAGGCCCCTTACTACCTTACTGGCGAGCTTCAGGAACGTTCGGAGGCTCTGAATCCCGATGTAATTGCGGCGCCTTTATACCTTGTTGGCGAGCTCCAGGAGTAGACAGCCGGGCAGCTCGGTCGTCGGGTTGAAGTTACTGCGCTGGACATGCCTAGTTATGCTCAAGTTACTCACGCATAGCAAACAGAGTATGCTTTCGCCAACAAGTACTCCTAATTGATTATCTTTCTATAATTCGCTCTCTTTTTACATGGGAAATCAAGAGTCTACAATATATGTTCCTGTAGTGAGTCAATTAATTAGATTGTGACATGTCCGGCTGCTGTAACTGGGCCTTTGTTTCTGTATAATGGCCGCAGGTGAGACGAATCACCTTGAGAAAATCGTATACTGGTTCATGTTGAGGCACATTGTATCATATTTATATCAGGTATGAGGGCCACACTATCATCGCAATGCGGCCTTGTCGTGTTTGACCTTTTACGCATGTTGCCGGTCGTATCGTCCGGCTGTATACAGCACGTTGATATGCCTGGACATCTACTCCCAAGAAGAGGGTACAGCGAGTGATAAGGGCACAGGTGATGCAGGTGTGATGGTGCGAATTTTCCTGCAATAGCGAATCCGCAATTCTCCCACGACAAGTGTCATCTTTCTTTGGAAAAGGACATCATGTCCTCTATAAATAGGAGACTTGCAGCCCCCTCAAACAGCTCAACGAGATTTGGTCAACGACAGATAATATCTGGTCATGTCAGGCTTTGTGGGCTGGTAAGACGCGTCGTTGGACGATCTGCGACGAACGATGCATTGAATAATAATTATTAAAAGACAGTGATATGATATTGCAGGGCACTAGCATGTTCTAAAGAAATTTGGCTAGGTCGTCGGCAGCAAAGCCACTGATAATGGCAGTAGCATCTCAATTATCACCAAACCCAAGCAGAACATGCTTCTCTTCGATAATAGAGCACGGTTATTTGGAGAGGCTAGCGTATCACCAGGTCCTCAACGTAATCGTGACTTGCAGCCAACCCACCGTGGTACATGTCTCCTGTAGCGGTTTATCAGTGGCTAGATTCAGCTCTGGTATTCGTAGCCGTCAACATTCAGAGTGTGTGGTGGTGCAGGTCCGATACGGACACTTGAGAGAGCTCAGGTTGCTGGAATAGCTGTGGAATTTGTTTAAACGAGTGTCTAAGATTTACTTGAAGCATGCATGCCAGTTTGTTGTGCCGTATAGCAATTTGCAGGGATGTTGAATCCTGTTCTTGCTCACCAACTTCTCTCCATCATTCGCCTAGATAACGAGCCCATCGCTACCAGTATACCCCATAATCCAATAGCCTGACCACAAAGCAGCCATCAAGAAGCCCTTGACTGGTTCCCTAATTCTCAACCGGACGCCTATCCCGATGCCAGACACCTTGCCTGTCGTACGAGATTGCTGCGGTGGTGCCGCCACTCAAGTTTAGAAAAAAGGGATTCGAGACGCTGTCGGAAATCATTGTCGCAGTCTCTAGGTGACTTTGGAACCAAAAAACTACCTTGGGCAGTGGTTGGAGTGTTGCTTTGCCTGGTGCGTAGGGTGTTGGGGATATAAAGACTACTCGACTGTTAATCCCCGTCCCTGTCTTTGGTCCTCCGTCTTGACTCACCTGGCACGTATTTCCCACCAATAAAAAGCTCAACCGCTGCTGAAGCTGGTATTTGATTTTTAAATCCAAAAGTGGCCGGGGGGAGGGTGGCGTCGGCCTCGGTGTGATACTGGGTCCAAGTATCGAGGATGTAGGTTTGTTTGAAGTCGATATCAAGCATTTGAGTTGTCCCCGTGAAGATTTCTATACCCAACAGTTAGGTCTTGGTAACCTGTGCATGGGTCTCTTGAGATATCATACGTCCAGGTTCAAAATTCTGGGTTGTGCCACCAATCCGGTACTTGTCTTCCCATGCCGCATTCATAAGCTCAGTCACCGCTTGTCCGCGTTAGTCAATCATAGTAGTGAAACGCGCGGACTGCCGACATACTGTTTGTCGAGGCAACAATGTTGAAGACATCTTTACTAGAACCCGCAAACACCTTGGCCATGATCAGTTTAGTACCATTCTTGTTGAAGATGTCAACCCAGTAAGGATCTAAGGTAAATTGTTAGAACAACTGTCACTCATTAAAGGGGGTCTTACTATACCGATCTTGATATCGACGCTGTATCTGATAGCATCAGCCATGACGACAATAGTTTTAGAGTCGGTAATGCAGGTAGCAAAGAGCAAATTTTGTATTTTGAATGGAATCGATGTCGGGCTTGATAGGAACCTTGGCCACAAATGAAGGAAGACGAGCTCCTTTATATACTTGGGTAGACACGCTCCTCTGAACGCTTTTCGAATCGACACTGCGTAGTGCGATGCGTCCCGTAGTGACATGATGAGCAGCCAAGGCAATGAAGCTCGAATCAACTGACCGATGGGGCTGCATTCGTGTGCCCGTCGAAGACCACATACATTGTAGACGATGCCAATCCTCAGCTACCACATCTGGCCTTGTTTCTTTTACTCGTGCCCATGTGGCGAGAAAAAAGAAACACACGTGCTGACAGCCGAAATTCTACATACGGCCTGTATGTGTATGTAGCATTGAATTGTGAACCCCTGCACCCGAAATCAAGACATATGCAAGACGCAACTGCCGCCGAACCACAAACAGAGTCACTTCAATTCTGTCAACCTAATTCCGAGACCACAGCCAGCCACAGTTCTAAAACCTAGGTACGCCCTGCCACGGTCTCTTCCATAATGAGCAACCATGTCTTTCATTTTCCTACGTGTTCTTTTATACATTGGGATGTAGTCTGAATGATTTGCTGACCTCAGGTATACACAACAGATAAAATGACTGGTAATGCCGGAGTAAAGAGACGTCTTTGAATGCTCAGCAAATATGGCATCATTATTGAAGCCGACAAGGAAAGAGGAAAGAGGGAATTTCCTGGCAATCGTCTAGACCTAGACTCGCCCCTAATCATGTCATTTGCCATCACAATTCACAAATGCCAGCCAACATACGCTGTGTTACTGTCTCAATATATCACAGTGATGCATGGCTTAACCCGTGAGACGCCATTCGATTGTCAAAGTTCTATAGCTACACATCCATGGAATATGAATATCCCTGTGGACTTAAATGTGATGCATTTATAGCGAATAATAAGGCAGGGATAAAGATTCGCCTTGTTAATTTATACTGCCGCCAGAATTAACAGCTAACCAATTTACTTTGACCAGGCGACGTCCTCCTATAAAATATATGTATATATATATGGAGGTGTTCAAGATATAGTACGTAGCTATACCGGAGTGTTGCCCGCAACCCAGTACTACACGTTATTCGTCTTCTCAACGCTATTCTGTCGCCGCAGGCAGTCATTGGTAGACTTGAGCTCGTAAGAGTCAATGCCTCATATTCATGGCGTTCAATCGACGACTATGCACGGGTCTAGCTGCTGTGTTGCACACATCTCTTGTCTCACTTCGTCACAAGTCCTACCGGGCGGTCCCGCACTGTTTATTTTCTGCGCCTCTTTTCTATACAGGCAAGGATGACGCAAAGAACAAAGGGATGGCTGGCCGCAGAAAGGCATGACTTTGTTGTAGACGAGACATTCCATATCCACCTGGGATTCATCAGGATGGCTACCCCTCACCGCCGTCGTATATGCGAGGCCATGACGATTAAAAAGCCTTGCAAATACCGAGACATGTTATATATCACAAGACGAAGTCGAAATTTTCTCCACGTCTGAGGGAACTACGATGCGTGCCAGATGCCGAGATCAAGCCAGCCCAACGAACCGGCATGTGATTCCATAGCCATTGTTCTTTGCAATAAATAGAATCGAACCGGGATCGTGGTTTTGGGCACATGCCGAAACAGGTGTTTCAAATCGGGCATCGGAACTGTGGCTGGCTGAGATCTCCGCATTGGGACAAGCCATCGTGTGAATGCAGATTTTGTACGAATTACGGCAGTACAAGATGACAGCGAAGGCTCTACCTTTGCAAAGTCAAAACGAAACAGCCAGTTTCCCACAGTAATCTAACTCGCGGTCTGCGACGGAGCCGCGCGATCCCTGAACTGACAGCCAAGTCATATGTAGGTTGTAACGTGGCACGGGGTCTTCAAATGTTCCAACTTGACACATCTATACAAGAATTCACTTAGAAGCGCCCAACGCGACAGAACCGGGCATGACCGTGGAGAGCGACTTGGCCGGGTTTGAGCGTGGCCGCGTGGCGACTATGATATGTTTGTAGGCGCCTGCTAAATAATCTCCTTGTCCAGTGCAGGCCAAAGTCCCTTTTTTTCTTCCCCAAAGCCTTTGACGGACAGAGGCCAGTGCCCCTTGATTGTGCTATACTGGCGATGAAGGAGTCACTACGTCGAGCATAGCAAGCAGCACCAATGAAATCAGAGATATAAACACAAGTTGAAAGCGTATAAACCATCCCTCAAGACGTCTATTTTAGACACCACTGCAACGTCCCTCTTCTCTCCGACTCGACAGTTGCGAGAACAAAGTGAGACCGGTGTGGCGTGAGGGCTCGGCACATGTCTGGCGGACACGCCACGTCACAATGGACTGGCCACGCCTGGTGGCTGAGCAGAATTCAGCAGGGATCGACCAGATTCATCGATAAATCATCAATGATCTATCCTCTTGTCTGTAGTTGGTGGCGGAGTAATGGACCAGTGAGAGGCGCATGGGCATCTTCAAGCGGCGGCCCGAGTGCATTTCCGCGCAGCCCTGTTTAACGACTCGATGCAGTCCGCGTCTCATTAATTGTCCCACCAGAATACTACTCTACTTTGGTCACGGTCATCTCACGCATCTTGGTCTTTTTTACAGAGGAATGGAACATGTAGTGAATTGCAGATGCTGGGCTGGAGTGGCGGAGCAAATCGCTCTCTCCGGTTATCTCGTCCCAATGCAACATGCGGATTTCGAGGAGAGAACGGAGGATGATGCCATACGAAAAAAGAGTGCGGGCTGCCCAACATCGAACAGAGGCAAGAGAGAAGAGATGAGTGGACGTCGACAGCTGAAGTGGGCGAAGGCCTCGATTGCGTTTTGACTCTGGGTTGTTGATCCAATCTGCTAGGCCATGTGTGAGATGCGTTGCATGGAGTTACAACACGCAACTTTGGGCAGTCTCCGCGTGAACGTTACTGCTTATACTACACAAGTTGAATATCTACGTGGTCATTATGTGGCAGAAGCTTGGGACTATGGTGTAGCACTGTTTCACGCAGACATGACCATAGAGCAGCACCGAGGTTCTTATACATTGAATGATGAGTTGTGAATCGTGGATCGTATGATATATATCTATATATATGGGTCAAGACAACCATATAACCAACTGCCTTCAATGTCTACTCAGCACCCTCTGGCCCCTTCCAAGCAATACCCAAGTGATTCTTTACCAAATTCACAATACTAAAAACTATTACAGTCTGTCAGACTACGTTTCAAAACCCATCAAGCTCAGTTAGGCCTGGTGGTCTGCGTCTGGAGATTTTAAGCGACAAGATTCAGGAACAGCGCAAAAGTCCATCCTTGACTCTTTTTTCAACAACGAAATCATGTCTCGAGAAGCCGCAAGCACTCCGCGGCCGGGAGTGAGCCCTATGCACATTACGGAGCACCATGATGAAGAGCAGAAAATTTGGTGCCAAGTTGATGTGCAACGCCAAAACCGGTACTATGGTAAACTGGTTGTCTCGAGCCTGCACACCGATGGTGGTGAGCTGGTGCGAGCCAACCAGTTTCTCAGCGTTGTGTTTCTGTCGCCGACGGATGTTGCGGCAAGGGACTTTTCGTCTTCCACGGCTGTGAAAATCACGCCGCAGATGATCAACGAGCAGATTGACGCCAACACGGTCCGCGTAACCGCACGACTACAACTCGTAGAAGCATACGTATTCCAAGACCACGAAATGTTTGAATTTGGCGTCTATGACGACGTGGGCCAAAATCCTGATCTGTACAAAGAATCGTTAGTGCTGGGAGCCGATCGAACACCCAGCGGGTGCGTTATCATCCATTGCGAGCCCGCCCCGGACGAGCGCCTCGCAAACTGCATGCAAACGATATGTTTCTGCGAGGGCAAGCGAGTACAGACAGTCTCGGTGCCTCTGGGCCAAGAAACGCAATGCGAGATAGCTGTCGGCTCGTACACCGACGTAAAGGCTCTCAAGCTCACGGCCGCGGATGACACGGCGGTCGGGCAGCCTCAGGCCTCGACTCATGCTCTGAGAGTCGAGGACGGTGGAATGAAACACGTCGACATACGCTACGACCACGTTGAGCACTTCAGTACCATAGATGTGACGGTTGGGAACATTAGGCCCCTTGAGAGGGAAAGATTCCATATTCGAATCCAGAGGAACGGCGCTGAAGTCGCCAGCAACTGGAGCCCGTGCGACCATAAGACTCGGTTCTCGGAACTGCCGCAGGAGGGCGACGTGTCCGTCAGTGTCGATGCGACGACGGTAAACAATTACGAATTCTCCTTCAAGCCCCGCGATTTGAAGCTGTCCTCTAGGTTGGACTCGGCCTCGTTCCCCCAAGCCGATGCTGTAACCGGCATTGACACCACTGGCTTCATAAGCCTACCTATTGTGGTCAAGACTAGTATTGTGGAATCCGGTCTGACTTTGTTTGTGCGATTGCGTTCCGAGACGTTGATCTACACGCAAACAGTCCCGGTCAGGGACGGCCCTGTGTCGCTCGCCGTCAAAGTACAACCAGGGCAGTATACAGTCGAGGCCCCGAGCTTCGTCTGCAGCGGCATCGTCTACGTCGTCACCGCGGAAGCCTCGCTCACAGTCCTGGATTGCGGCTCGACCAAGCTGGAGGTGCGGGTGCAGCGCGGCGCCAATCTCAAAGTCTGCGGCTTCCCAGACGTGTTGGGTTTCGGCGGCTACGCCGACCTGGTCGACGGCAACAAGGACGACTTTGTCGAGGCGAAAGCGTCGTCCGTGTTTGCATATGCCGGCCTTGACCACGATGGCGATCCCCTCCAGCGCCTGACAGAGGCCGAGGAGCGGCGCGCCACGTGGGAAACCATTCAGCTTGCACGGGCTGTGGAACGAGAGCTCGGCCATGGGAAGCCGGTTCTGCCCGTCATGGTCTCTTATACCTGCAACTTGCAAGGGTTCCAGGTGCAAGACCGGCTGCGAAACCACGAGGACTGGCTCGCCAACAGCTTCGCAAACCTGATCCTGTCACTGCAGATAACCAACAGTACCATGGACCCCCGGCATCCCGTGCCGGGTGGCTACATTGTGAATCCAGACTTTGTCAGCACCTGCCAGAGGGAGGGCCTCACAGCCAAGTTCACGATGCCGGTGCGCGGTCCGCTTCAATCCGCCGTCGACTATTACAAGGTCGCTGCCGAAATTCCCGACAGCATCTCCGAGAACCTTGGCGGCTATGTTGCCGCCGTCAATTGGCTCTTCCGGACGGTCTCGCCGGCTGTGCCGTTCGGTTGGCATGTCCATCTCGAGGGAGCCGGTGGTCCGGAATGGATCTATCGAGATGATGACGATGCGGCTTCCATGGCACAGAAGACGGGCGCCTACGCCGCCTCGCTTGGTATCTTCGCTCACGCCGACTTTGTAGCCGTTGGCCGCCACCCAGGCGACGACTTCACCGTGCAGAGCTACGGCGTAGGCTATTGCTACGGCCCGCGCGAGTGGCAGCGCTTCTTTGCGTTTTGCGGCGCCCTCAGTCTCAACCAGCAGGTACCAGTCCTTCCATGGCAGGTATCGTTGAGCCGGACGCCGCTCGTCGACGACGGAGTCGCTCAAGACTTTGATTTCCAGCACTGGGGGACCGGGGGCAGCTATATTCTGGGCGACGCGGCCGTGGGCTCGAGCTACCACAACGTTCACCCCAGCATCCTCCAGCTCAAGTTCACCCTTCCGTACATGGGGGAAGACGGGAGACGCATCTTCATTCGTGCAGAGCCTTTTGATCTGACCGAGCCAGCCGTGAAGGACTTGCTTCTCTGCGGCATCTTCACAGTCCTCGTGGGCGGACCTTCTACGACTGGCATCATCGCGGCCAGCTTCGGCAACCGGGGGCCGTGGGTGCGGAAGAAGCTGAAGGCGTACGGAGAGAATCCGATTCGCTTGACAACTATCGGCACGGGAGTGAACTAAGCTTCTTTACAGAATGGAAATTCGCTTTTCTTTCTCTGGTTCGGCAGGCTCTGTCTAATAAAGGCAGGGTTTATTTGGAGATTTTGGGCCAGGTCTGCTAGGGGTTGTCGATATGTCGGCATCGTTCCTAATAACATTGTAATTGCGACAGAGCCCTAGATAGCTCGGATAAACGGCCAGCCTGGTAGGATTATTCCCGTCATTTTAAATTAAACAGCGGAAGTCGCGTTTTTGTGTCAAATAGGCTACACATCCGGCATCAAGGGTACGCATGTGACTGGCATTGACACTTTCCCTCTAGCTAGATCGGGCTAGTATACCGGCCGACATGTATGTATGTACATGTAGTCACAATATGCGTCCAGCCCATTGGCCATACGGCACCCGCCCGTATTGAAGGGCCGATGCCACGGCGAAATCGGGGCATGATTCGGGAGTCGCCCGACCGTTTGTGCATCTAGGCCGCCTACCATGGGTCCCGTCATCGTAGCCCTCGTGAAGCCCGTGTGACAGACGGAAACTAGGCCGCATCCCTTAGTGGACAGGTGGCTGAGTAGGTCTAGGTGAATATGATTATAGAGTTTGAAGGCTCAAGGCTGAGAGTAATGGTAACCTCGGAAGGGCTTGTATGTCAGCTTGTACTGTACTGCGGACTGGAGTACTCAAAGTTTATTAGCAGCCAGCTCGCGAACTCGGCGCTTTTCGCCCTTCAATGTTGGTTCGCTTGGCGCCATTGCACTTGCAAGCACTCATCACAGCATGGCCATTCGACGCCCTCACGCCAACCCACAATCGAGATCAATTAACGGCTGCTCAGCTGCGCCTCGTCTGAAAAAGAAAATCCCAGGCACTGGGCAATCGCCGCCCTCCCTTTATCATGTCGGCATACTCTCTTTTATATAGTTTACCTGAATGTTCTACTAGGCTGTATAATTAATTTGGAAAATCCAGATAAAAGGTCATCATGGTCAACACCTTCATCCTCTCCCTTGCTGTTATAGCTTGTCTTGTGCCATCCATCTCTGGAGACAACTGCAAGCCGGGTCTATCCTACTGCGGTTCCACGCTCCTGCAGATTGGTACGTATATATTCCGATCATGCCAATCACGCGGCTAAAATACAAACCAATCCCATAGGTAACTACTCGGACCAAGTTGACGCGGCGCTGAAAGCGCAGTCGTTGAACACCAGTGCCCAGGTCACCGCGAATACTCTATTCGATTGTATAGGAGGCCCCAGCGGGGACATCAAGGTCATCAGCTATTGTTATTACGGATGTACAACGGTCAGTGTGGGAAACAGCGACTATTGCAAGAACACGGGGCAAGCTGCCAATAGCACATCCTCTGCTACAGTTTTGCCCAGTCCTTTATCGACCACCACTGTCGTCACTTATCCCAGTGCCTCGCCCACCACACCTACGACGAGCAGTAACGATTCCAATGGTTCATATGCTGCACCTATAGTTGGTGGCGTTATCGGCGGCGTTGTAGCACTCGCCTTGATCGGGACCATGGTCTTCCTCTTCTTTCGGAACAAGAGGCATCGGCAAGAAAGAAGCGACAAGGTTCTCGTCCCGTCAGTGGGCCACCGTCCTATAGGGCAACAAAAGCCTCTCCACGTTTCAAGACCGCCCAACAGCCGTGACTTCGGGTCAACCGCATTCCCTATCGAGGACGAGAGACCCGTATACGAGGTGCCTGGTTTTAGTGAGCCGCGAATCCACGAGGCGCCTACGGATGCCAGGCAAGAGCTCTATTAGACAATGTGCGAATGCCCACGTAAGAGATTGGTGAGAAAATTCAACCATGATTTCCTGCTTGATGTGCCTGGTTTCACTTCCTCCAGGGCCCACAGATGACCGGTTTTAAGAGGCCGAGAAGGGTTGAGCACATTTTAAATGATACAAAAGTACTTGATTGAGAATGGGTACTGTCATGGGAGGCGTGCAGCTTCATTAGTCGTCATCCTCGGCTAATGGGAGCGGAAGCGGTGACATCATATAGCTTTCGCTCACCCCCATGGGTTTGACAGCAGTTGCAGGTATTTGAAGCTGTTGATTTCCTTGAAACTTGGAATTTTATCCTATGTCTCTTTTTAAGGTTTGAGGGAGGTTGTTTATCTCCTCTTGCAGCTCTGAGAATGAGTCATGATTCTGGAGCCTAGTGATGAGCAATCTGACAACCAGGACAAGCCTGATGATTGCCACGCCTTGCCTTACTGCTTCCATGTCCTGGACTTTGTTGTATTCTAGATGATGGCGGGTCCCGCGCAATATGTTGCCAGGCTCAATAATTGGCGGCAGATATCTGGGAACCGCAGGGAGGCTAGGCTTGGCCGGGCATCCACGACAGAAAAGAGGCATTCCACCACAAACTACGAGTTGCCGGCAACGTTTCATGCCAGGCGCAGGAGGCCAAACGCAATACGGAAGACGGGGCATTGCTAGAAGAGGGACGGACATCGGCCGCTGATCCTGGGGGTTCACAATCCGGTTTTACACCATCGGAAAGTTCCATTACGCCTCTCGGCAACGTCACGCTGCAGGCATTATAGCCAGCGATTTCACCAGACCACTGGGATGATAGCCAATCTTGGCCGCAGATCATTGTCATATTAAGATATATCATCGTAGAATGGCCACTGGGGGCGGGGCAGGGTTCATACAACTTTGAGAATACTACTGTAGCATATAAAAGCTCGCGATAATGTTGCTCGCAGTCAAAAAAAAAAAGGTCAGCAAAAGCGGAAGCAAGATTTTGGACGCGGCTTTATCATGGCCAGGGGCATTTTAAACGTCGTCCCCAACGTGGCATTGACACGACCCGTCCTATCCGACGGGTTTGTGGCTACCCGAGCCCACGGATGCTTGCCCGCGTGAACAAACTTGTGCCTTACAATGCCGAGCAAGAGTCCCAGAAATGCGGTGCCAAGTACAGCAAGGCTACGCTGCCATTTGTATCCTATGCGGTGTTCGACGGCAACCTGGCGACTGGGCAGAACCCTGGGTCGGCCAAGGGGACGGCCAAGGGGGCCGGCGTCACCCCGGCCAGTGAATGGTACATTTTTCAGCTTGCTCTGAAACCCCTTCCGCCGTCCGGAGCGATACAATTCATGGCCAAGGTCGCAGACGTGCAGCAGATGGCACCGAGGCGGCACTTTATAGATGGCCCACATGAGAACAGAAGACTATTTCTCAATATTTACGTTTCCGAGGGTCCGGTCCCGAGAGCCCCTCTATATGGCTATTCTTCACCAGGAACCATGTCGGCTTCGATTTCATCCATGTCATCCCTCCCTACCGAGCTTAGGCTTGGACGCTTATCATATTCCACCGATGTAAAAGCTGCTGGCGCTTTTCAGCTCTCAATCCAACGCCCGAGTCTCTACACCCACCGGCGAGTGCACGTTTAATCCTTGCCATTCCCTTGTCTACCATGTGTATTCTCGGCTCCTAAGTGTTTCCATCCAGCGCCGTTTCAGTTGATGTAGCAAGCAGGTTTTTCGCTCCCGGAGGGTTAGCTTGGATCCGGCAAATTAAAATAAACAACACATGACGCATCATCAGAAAAAGAGCACGGCCGTCGGCCATGAATCGTCTGCATAATGGCCACCTTGCTCTACGGTGGCATATCCACCGGGCGTACGGAGTAGGATTACAGCCTAATATGTGTGTACCAGACCCAAAAAAGGATGTCATGATTATGCAGTGCATATTATATATTTCTTCTTGGGACGGGCCACAAGACGAATTGGAGTGGGTGCCAAGCTTGATCTGGCGTGACAAGGGCGACGTTGCATAATACCCTGATTCAGGCACACTATCACTTCTCCCCACGGGCGTATGCATGTATAATTATGGCACGAGTACATGTATGCATAAATAGTAATAGGCGCGGGAAAAAATGACTAGCCAGTCTGGTGTCTGTCAAAGAGTCATGGTGAAATAGCAGTGACCTAACAGTAGGTCAGTGCTTGGCGTTTTTCTTGTTTCTTCTTCTCTTTTTCCCAATTTATGCGCATAAAAGAGAGCAGCGTGGCAATTTGAGCGCCCTCGGCTATTTCCGCTATTCAGGCAAGTAGAGTGATGGATATGAATTATACGATGCAAACGTACCGCGAATCTAGAAGCTGACGACGCGGGCTCTGTATTGAACGGTACCGCAGCAAGGATTGGGACGAGTTGCGTTATTATAGAGCTCGAGCCGTCTCTTCACTTGTGTGGGATACCGACCAACACTTTCTATATAATCTAGTATTCAGTGCGGTTTCCGCAAGTGTTTGATATCGAATCACTCGCGCTCGCTACAAGTTTATTTCATATTCCTTTTTTGGTTTACTAATTTTACATCTAATAACGTATCAACTATGAAGTACCTCGTCACGGCCTTGAGCGCTGCCACGCTCGCGACCAGCGTGGCAGCCCAAGTTGCCACTCTGGATCCCGCCGAGGACATCATCCCCATTATTCCACCGGATGTCCTGACGAACGTGCAGGAAGAACGGAAGTATGACGCCTGCCACAAGATTGACACCTCAGTCGCCGGTGGTCTCATCTGGCCTTGCGCCTCGCAGCTCAAGATTCTCGAGTCTTGCCCTAAGTCGGCCAAAACGGCCGAGGAGCGCAAGGCCCAGCGAGACTGCATCTGCGGCAAGGGAAGCTCGTTCTTGCAAGACGCTGTTGCCTGTTCAGAATGCAAGATTCAGAACGGTCTGCAGCCAGACAACCAGCGCGATTTCTGGAAAAAGTCCTTCGGAGCCCTGGACAAGGAGTACTGCCAGTCCGACGACGTGGCTGTCGACTACAAAGAATTTACTAAAGACTGGACACCGCCAAAGGGAGTCATTGCTGGCAACTCTCTGGATGGTCAGATCGGCAATCCTAGGGACTACTATAAACAGGCCGGTGTTGCCGTCCCGGAGAAGCAGGGCCCGGGCAAATCTACGCCCGCTGCCCTCCACCCTGGAGTCAACGACAACACCGTCAATGCCGATATCAGTGACCCCCTGGCTGGGCAGGTTGTCGTTCCCGCCTATGTTGCCGTCGAGGTCAACAACAAGCCCTCTGGAGCCAACACTGCCCCCGTTACGACCACGCCTTCAGCTGCTGGCTCGCAGCCCACCACCTTGGTGCGTGTCACGTCCGGGGATTCTACCGCAGCAGCCACTGCCTCTTTGTCACCTTCGAGCTCGCTTGTCCCTGCCTCTGGCTCCAACGGTGGCGCTGATGTCGCGCATATTATCATGATCAACGGCAAGGCCTGCCACGTATATATCATCTGGGTCATCATTGATTGCGCCCCCAAGAAGGACGCCCAGGGAAATCTCTATATCGAATACAAGAACAACGGAATTGACAATAACAAGCCCGTCTCCATGCTGGAGAACAAGAAGCAGTTCGACCAGATCAAGGACACCGTACACGATGCCAGCAAGGACGATAACAGTGCAAAGGAACTGAAGGACATCGTCGGTACCGAAGCCGACGTCGTTGCGGCTCCTGGAAATAAGAAGCCCCTTCCTCCTCCCGAGAAGCCCGCCTCTGGAGAGCCCCAGGCCCCCAATGGCGCCGCCGGATCTGGTACTTCTGACGAGCCTGTTACCGGCACCACTGTTAACACGCCCGATGTGTCGGATGATAAGGATGAGTGCGTCAACGAAGATCTCACCGGCGGTGCTAACACTCCGGACAATGGTTCTACCAACACCGAGAGTATCCCCAGTGGCAGTACCGGAACTGGCGCTCCTAACAGCAAGCCTGCTGCTGATATTAACACGCCCGCTATGTCGGATGATGATGAGTGCGACAACGAAGATCTCACCAACGGTGCTAACACTCCTGACAATGGCTCTACCAATACCCACAACCCTGAGAATATCCTAAGTGGCGGTACCGGAACTGGCGCTCCTAATAAAAAGCCTGCTACTGACAACAACACGCCCGCTATATCGGATGATGAGGATGAGTGCGTTAATGAAGATCTCACCAACGGTGCTAACACTCCTGATAATGGCTCTACCAACACGCCCAACACTGAGAACGTCCCCAGTGGCAGTACCGGAACTGGCGCTCCCAACAACAAGCCTGCTGCTGACAATAGCACGCCCGCTGTGTCGAATGATGAGGATGAGTTTGTCAATGTCCCCAGCGGTGCTACCACTCCTGATAATGGCCCTACCAACGTCCCCAACACTCAGAACACACAGAATCCTCCCAGCGGTGGTGCCGAGACTATCGTTTCTAGCCTCGAGGATACTATGAAGAACCCTAATACTCCCCAGGGCCCTAAAAAGACCCCTAGCACCCAGAATCCTCCCAGCGGCGGTGCCGAGACTGTCGTTTCTAGCCCCGAGGGTACTATGAAGAACCCCAACACTCAGCACACAGAGAATCCTCCCAGCGGTGGTGCCGAGACTGTCGTTTCCAGCCTCGAGGGTACCATGAATACCCCCAACACTCCCCAGGGCACTGAAAAGACCCCCAGCACCCAAAATGCCCCCAGCGGCAGTGCCGATACCGTTGCCCCTGGCCCGAACGGCACCAAGACGACTCCTAATGCTCCTGCCCAGAACTCCGCCGGCACCCCTGGTGGCCAGACTGGCAGCAATACTCCCTCTAACTCTGGTAGCCAGTCTGAAACCAAAGATTGCGAATGCGCCTCTGGCAGCAAGGCCCCTGAGCGCAAGGATGCCGACGAGATCTGCGCCAAGAGGGAGAAGACCGAGACAGACTGCAACAAGGAGTCGGGAGAGAACATGCGAAAGTGCTTTTGCTCCGAGGGAAGCTTCCAGAACCAGCGATTCTTCGAGGAGGCAATCACTTGCTCACGACGATCTGACAATTGTCGCTTGGGAGAGTATGGGGCTCAAGTGTTCTTCCAGATCCAGCATCTCTACTGTGATTTGAAGTTGTTTGGAAACGACTATGCCGCCGCGTACAAGAACGTGTTGGATTCTTGGGGACGTGAGAGAGCCCCGACTGCTTCTCTCATGTAAATTAGCCGTATCTTGCCATAGTCAAAACTGCCTGGACGCTCCGGTCAGTGGTACAATTTATCTATGTGCTTTTATACAAGAGTCATCAAAAATACGTGCACCAGTTCCAGCTCCACGCCAAGAGTCGTCGCATTATCGCGGGCGTCTTGTCCCTCGGCAAGTAAGGGCCCTGCGGTAATTTCACAGCTGTGGGGGATCAATATAGCAAGGCAGAGTTCAAATGTGTGAGAGCGTCCACTGAAATTGATGAGGAACTTGTGCTGTGACGAATGGGTACCACTAATCAAACACATCAATTGCCAGGCAGGTCTTAACGCAGACGTCTGCTGGCATTTAGATCGGTCGTTCTCACCTTCGTAGTAACCGATTCCTGTGTAATGCCGTGAGAGAAAGAAGACGGCATCGAATATCCGGCCATGGCCTAGAACCTTCTGTTTGAGAGCGGGTTACCCGGTCCAACGGGGGTTTTTGGGCGCTCGACACAGTTCGGCTGACATTTTCCAGTGAAGAATTCTTCGCACGACGGTGTCAGTTTGAGCCATGCGCACTAGGCGTGTCGTGTGATACTGAGCAGTAGACCTTTAGTTTTGCAAATATTCATCAGTCCACAGTCAAGGCTACAGCAGTCGCGGCAACATTCGCCAAGCGCTACGTCGAGGAAAATATACACACATCTCATATGCGCGAGCCAGGGAGACATGCCATCCGGACGAGGCAAAGCCCGATGAGGATGGAAGAGAACAGAAGTACTGCTGTAAGACCAACGAACCCATGCCCGTGTCGAATTGCCACTGGGCTGGCCAACTGGGTAAAGGGTCAACTGTTCGGCCTATGACTCGTCATGGACACGGTTGCAGAGATGATATTGGTGATACGACGCGATGCACCACGATATTGCCTCACCTTCAGGTTATTGGGTAGTGGAAACCGAATGATTAAAAAAAAAGATGGAGATATAACATGGGCGGCTTCATATAAGCAAGAGTATAGTAAGCCGGCTCTATCGCGAAAGGCTACGGGCGAGTATTCGTAAAAGCTAAATAACAAATTTAATTTCTCATGTCTCAATCTAGTGACTACTATCTCGGTTAAGTAAAGGCGTATTCAAAGTGTAACTAATAAAACTATCCAAGGGTTCCTAGAAACACGACAGCCAATATGTCCCACGATACTACAAGACTACGTATAAATATACGCGTGATAAAGATCATACTATTTGTTATTCTTCCTAACTAGTTAAAGCTGTGCAAGCATATATTTCCTAAGCAGCTAAGATGCAACAAGTCACTTGAGCCTGCAAACGACGATTCAGCCACCCTTCCTGCCCTTGTGTACGCCGTGACACTCTTCACAAAACTCGGGGGTTGGCAGACAAGAGCTCCATCAGAGTTGAAACCCGAAAGCAGCTACAATTCAAGCCTTTGGCACGAAGGGCCTGTCAGGCACGTCAAAAGCCGTAATCGAAGTCCTTTGAACGTTGCCTCTTGTCCATGCACTCGATAACACCATCAAAGTTTTTGACCTTTGGGTTCTTTTTCTGTTCTTCAAAAACACACTGCGCAATAGTTCTCCTGCATGCACCCTCATTTAAACCCCACTTATTCCATGACTGCATGTCATCGAAACCATTCGGCGCCTTTTTTGGGATGCAGAGCTTGTCTTCTATAACCTGGGCAGGATCCCGAGGAGGATCCTGAGGAGCTTGCACTTTGGCGGGCGGCTGAGCTACTCCTGAACTAGATTGCGTCGACGTACTAGCCACGGTGCTGGCGGTGACAGCGGGGCTTTGGCTTTGCCCGGATGTCGTCGTGACCTTGTTCTTTTTTACGCAGTCAGGGTAGGCTTTCGACTGTTCATTGAAACAAATTTTCCAGGGCGTTTTTCCCTTTTCAATACAGTCTCTAGCGCCCTTGAAGGCCTCGGCGCGGCATTGCATATAAACTGCGCCGCTCGCCTCTGGAACTTTGCTGTACTTCACCAAACATTCTAAACTGGCATCCTGGCCGGCAGAAGGGTTAAACCTGGTTGTCCAAGACCCGTTCATGTCTGCCAAGGCTTTCGATATAGCATCATCATATGCCTGACTGCAGAAATCGTCCCAGATGGCGGGGCTTTGGCTTTGCCCGGATGTCGTCGTGACCTTGTCCTTTTTCACGCAGTCATTGTAGGCTTTGACCCCTACCTTAGAACAAAGCCTCCACCTTGTTTGGGAGCCCTTGGTATAACAGACTTTGCTGCTCTTGACGGCCTCGGCTTGGCATTGCATATGAACTGCGTCGCTCGTCTCTGGAACTTTGCGGGAGTCCACCAAACATTTTATACCGGCATCCTGGCCGACAAGATAACAATCTTCAGACCCTCCCTTGTTACGCTCCTTTTCGCATTTCAACCGAGTAGTCCCCACTACCTGAATGCAGGTACCGTCCGGGATTTCTGCACGTCTCAAGATTCGGAAGCCTTCTCCTGGACGGCCAGATGCAAGCGCGAAGGCGGGTGCGGCCAAAAACGCGAGGGTGACAGCTGCGGCTTTCATTGTGGATGCCTGAAATTTGACAGAAGACACAAAAAGAGTACTTGGTAGTAGGGATAATAAATAGTATTGAACAGGAAAAAAGAGTCCTTTGGCGAATACTATCTGGACAGACTATATCGAGCCTATTGTCACCTTTTATAGTCAAGCTTGGGCTGAACCTGTCAAGTGCTGCCCTTGGCTTTTCTTAGTAGCCTACTAGCCATGTCTACAGCCCCGTTTTTCGTTCCTATGCCGGTGGAGCTTTTGCGTCATGTTCTTGTTTATGCCTCATGCGCATTGTTGCTTTGTCGGTGTATATTATGCGGCTTAAATTTGCTAATAAACAGGACCAATAACTTTGCACTGCTAGATAATATATTAACTTATAAAGGGGCAAAAAAAGCTTACTATTCCTATTCCGGTAGAGCTTTTGAGTCATGTTCTTGTTTATGCCTTATGCGTATTATTGCTTTGTCGGTGTATATTATACGGCTTAAATTTGCTAATAAACAGGACCAATAACTACGTACCGGTAGTTGACGTATCGACTTATAATAGGGGCACAAAAAGCTTACGAATTGTAAGTATAACCTATCTTGTTTTAAATAGTATAGCTAGGTAGCCAGGCTTGCTAATCAACCAATCAATTACAATCGGGTGTCAGCTACAATTAATTAACAGGGCCCTACACGAGATTACGACTGCAATTAATTAAATAGCAGCTACCTATAACAGTCACGTCGTGATTGCTAGTAGCGCTAAGGTGCTAGTACCAAGGACGTAGCAATTGCCATCTCTTGAGCTGCCTAGTAGCTTGAGGTGACTCGCTTACGTAAGAAGTTTATGTGCCAGAGCAGTCTTTATAAGCTACTAGACAGCTAAAGAGATACTTGCGAGGCCCGGCTTTATTTTGTCTTGTTTTCAGAAGCTTATCTATTATTAATATATTACTACTATTAAATAAACTGCTTTCTCCTTTTATATAAGCTTATATATAAGCTACTTTCAGCCAAGGGGATCGACAAACGTGGTATTTATACGAATTTATACCTATTAGCGTGGCTAGGTTTATTTTTCTTCCGAATAATTTATAAAATTATAAGACTCTTAAATTGAGAGATTAACGCCTGGGTAAGCTAGAGTTACTAGTTTAGCGGAATAGCCCTCGGCTTCCCTACTTACTATTAGGGTAAGTATAATTTTATAATCCTACTAATATTAGTATTAAAATTATTAGTTAATTAAATTCACTTAAGTTGTTAAACCTAATACGCGCGGCTTTTATATAAGGTATATATTGGTGGTCTTATATAACACAGGCAACTGTCGTGAGGGAAAAGAGGCCAGGACACCTAGAGAGACAATATATCAAAGGTCTCTGTGTAAATCCTAGACCTGGGGTGTAAGTCTTTTAAAGTAATTATTTTGTTAAGTTTATTTTGGTAATAAAGTGTTTATAGCGCTCACACTATTAGTAAAATTACTATTAATAAGGCACAAGCTTGCTTCCTGTTCAAGTACGTACCTTTCTTCACACTTGGTATTGTTGATTTTATTAATATCCGGTCGCGCAAGGAAACGGACTGCCGCCTGCCGCCTGGGTCTCCGCACTCAAAGCCGGGTCCAACAGACGTAAAACCTTTGGACAGACAGTCTCAATCTATCAGATGCTACCGACCAAGACAGTAGGCACTAAGCTGGGGTGATATCTACTCCTTGGCAGGAAGCTATTAGAGTGGCTAAATCTTGAAATTTGGAAGTGGCGAACGGCGGATGTTCTAGGATGCCTCGTATAAGTTCTTCCCCCTTTACACTATGTATATCGTTGGGGTTTTTCCTACACTATAATGCAAATGCAAAGGCTATAAGGCTTTGGTTTTATACTCGAGCATGCTACGATTAATCTAACAGGCCAAGCCCGATAGTGGCTCGGTTTGGGCTCTCGCCTGTAGTCCTGACCTATGATTTATGCGGTCAAAAGTTCACTCAATTAGTTAGCTACAGGACATGAGGCGCCATCATTCCCATCGCTTGCCGGACCCTTTCCAACAAGTTCGCCACGAGATGTGTTGTTCGTTACCTTGACTCTATAAACGTTCCCGGATATACTGTCTGCGCCATATAAATATCCATCGGCAGCCGCATATACCGCTCCGAACCTCCCGGATACCCCCAAATCCCGAATGACTGTGAATATGTGAGTTGACATATCCCAACGGATCAAGAAATTATTGCCTGTATTTGTGACACCAAAGGACCATAGGTAGTTACCCGTCCCCGGGACATGAGCCCAATCGAAGATGGGCAAGATCTGGTCGCTGGTTCCGCTAGCAACGACGAGGCCAAAAGTGCTAGACTTGGAATCCGAAAGATCCAATTGAGCCCACGACGTTGCGGCTCCATCGGGTTGAAAAGCTTGGAGAATATAGTACTGCCCGTCAGGTGCGATATCACCGGTGACAGTGGCAAACGGGATCTTGTATGGCAGTACTGTGGCCATACCACCGTCTCCAATGCGAATTAGATTGCGGGCTTGGTTGGCCGAATTTGTCGCGGTTCCGTAAATATAGCCATCGCGGATATTAAACCCAATAGCATTAATATGTGACCCCGATGGCCCGGCATTCACATTACTGTTAACCAGTGTCGCCATTCCGGATACGTCCACGCTATACAGCCAATTTAGATCCGACCCAGGCTTGGTGTTCTGTATGAGATAGCCGGAGGAGGAGCATTTCAGAGGAGAAAGAGGGCCGGTAGGAGGAAGAGGAGCAAGAGGACCGCCGCACCCAGCGCCGTCGTTACCACTGCTTGCCGGGCCTTTGGCAATAAATTTAACAGGCGCTGTGCTGTCGGCGACCTTGACTCTGTAGATGCTGCCGGAGCCGCTCTCCTCCCCATAGAGATAGCCGTCTGCTGATGCATACATGGCCCCATATCGCCCGGATATCCCCAAGTCTCTCACCTTGACGTAGGCGTGAGATTGAATATCCCACCGGACCAAGACGTTCTTGTCCTCGTTTGGATACATGAAGCCGTACGACCAGAGGTAGTCACCCGCCCCCGGGACATGGGCCCAATCGAACATAGCCAAGCCAAGCGAGTCGCTCGTTCCGCTAGCAACCACCCGGCCAAAGGTTGGAGAATTGGAGTCGGAAAGGTCCAACTGAGCCCATGGCACGTTGCCCACGCCCGCGGTAGAACGGATGTAGTACTGTCCGTTGGCGGCCACGTCGCCGACAACGGTGTCAAACGAGATTTGTATCGGCAGCACAGTGGTTTTACCCCCGGCTCCAACGCGAATCAGATTGCGTGTTCCATTTGCGGCATTCGTTGCCGTTCCGTACATGAAGCTGTCCCGGGAATTGAACCCGATGGCATTGATAGCGGACCCAGGCGGCCCAGCGTTGACATTGCCATTGACCAGGGTCGTTTTCCCAGATGCCAAGTCCACCTCGTACAACTCGTTTAAACCAGAACCAGTATCCCTGTTCTGTATAAGATATGCAGAAGAGCACGGCAGGTTTGGATCTGCTGCGATGGGAGGGAGGCAGAAGATTCCGACGGCAATGAAGCCGGCCACGAACCGATTCATATTGATGGATCCTTTTCACGGAAAGATATAATTTAATTATCCGCTAGAGCTTTTTTGAATAGTTTTGAAGAAAAGAAAGCAGAGGAGTGTAGTCTCTTGTAAGTTCTTTTGGCATCGACTCTTTATATACGTCGCTTTTACAGCATTGCACTAGAACGAATATTAAGTGTTCAACAGGAAGCCGGACTCGACGCAAAAAGCAATGTTACTACAGGATATAGCGATGCTACTAAATGAGTAAGTAGCTGGATAGGCCCTTTGGAGAGAAAATGGACAGACATCATACAACACACAATACACAAATCATGGCTGACAGATCTCTCTTGGTTTCCTCACTCTAGATGGTTCCCGTTACGGAAATTGCGGGGTATCACTGGCTGTGCGTTTATCGGTGCAAAGTATTGATCAATCATTTTATAACGCCACCATTGCAACTTTGCCACAGATTTGTCTGGTCTGGTGACAGTTGGGCAGGGAACTTTCAGCCCATGGTTATCATGGAACCCGTTCCAGGCGCCGAGAGGCTGGCTGAGGCAAGGTAGTGGAGGTTGTATTATGCAACGAATGTTTAAGACAGATGCAAGTGTGGGCTAATGCCATCAATTGAGTGTACGTTCACAACGCGACGTACATGCAAGTTTCGAGAGTTATTCACAAGCAATCCCTCGAAAACGGCCCGCATAGTTGTCTCATCACGCAGTCATTTATTGGTGTGCGATGCGGGATAGCTCGTCGCGGAAGGAGTGTTTGTTTTGCCCCATGACGCCGTACATATGATCAACCGCATGCTTCAGGCAACTGTCGGTTGAATAAACTCCAGTCGAGGCCCTTGGACGTTCAAGGGATATGAGCTTTCTTTTTACGAGTTTCAGCTGCAGCAGCCAGCTTTCAGCTCTGCCGGCACCATCGTCATTATCCCTTTGTTCAACGAGGGCCGAAGATCGTTTCTGTAATGGAACTCGACTCATATTATATATGTGAAACTGTTGTCCCTGTAGGCTTCCCAAATCTTCCTCCAAAGTCGAAGCTGAGGAAGCACGATCATCTATCAAATACACCGTCGGCGCCACCAAAGAGTGGCAAGGCCGAGGTTTCAGAAGTGCCGCATTTAGTGCTATTCGTGGCATAATTAAAACTGCCGTGATTCTCTCCATACTGGCAACCATGTCACCCCCGAGTCCCTGATATCCCAGCTCCGAGCGGCCCGTCCCAAGTCTAGACCTTATTCCCCATGCCAAAGTAAAAGAGTATGGGATCAAATCCACGCCCGCAACATGTCACACTAATTGTCAAGTGGAGATGCGACGCAAGCCTTGTGCGTGTCCTTTTTCGTAGAAACCAACCCAAGTCGTCGTACTCTATTGATGAGGGCAATGCTAGACTGTCGTTTCTCGGCGGCGTATGGTATATCCAGGAACTACTTCTACCCTGTCTTCAGCCCATACAGCCTGCAACGCCACGCGGTCAAAAGCCACCTACCACACGAATGATAAGTGTGCAACTGCCGGACTTTGCTCCTCAAAGCTTTTGATTCACCCTGACCGGTGAGCTTGGTTCGCCTCGGGAAGTAATCAACCAAGGCCCCAGAGGTGTCATCGATGATGTCCCGGGATCCAGGACTAGATTGATGTCGGGCAGCTTTACGACCCCGACTTCTACCGGCTGAGTCTTTGAGAGCGCAAGTCCACGTACAGTATTCACATGCTCTTCGCTGGTTACATCGGATGCACTCCGCTTCCTGGGTTGATGTTGAATCCGGGCGAGGTTATTCTGGGGTAATGAGAGAATAGGATAAAGCCGGTTGCTGAGTTGAGGTGTGACGTACTCCGTAGTAATTTATAACAAGGCAATGCAATACACATTGCGCCGTGGAATCGGATAGGCCGAGTTTTCGAGATCAGGGCCTTACCACGTGGCTGCTGCCATCTTGAGAGCCTCAAGTAGAGGTGAATGCACCCTGATGGCATGGGTCCTAGGTCCAGGAATTCATGCATTGACGATACATGCACCCTGATGATCAATAAACCAAGTAAATTTCCTGTATTCAAGTCAGGCCTTCCCGGTAAAATCGACTTGATCAGTTCATCAATGTTCATCTCTAGTGTATTTCTGCTTACAAGTATCCATATTTTCAGAGATTTTGCGCCATTTACTCGCGACACAAGAAATCGCCCAAAGGCCAGAGCAGTGACTATAAAGCTAGGGACGTTTGGCAGTCGAATCCAAGACAATAACAAATACAACAAACTCATCAAATTCTCGATCTTATCTTTATGATCATCAAGATGTATGCAATTATTGCATTGTTGTTCCTGTCTCCTATTTGGGCCTCTCCTCTTGGCCGCCCGGCCGACGAACTAATACCAACAATTGATGCGTCTGCCAAGGCATCCCCTACGCCGGCGAATTATCAGTGGTCATCAGGATGGACGGCCACAATCCCTATTCATGAGTCCTGTAATAGCTCATTCAGGGCACAGATCAATCAAGGCCTAGATGAAATGGTCCAGCTGTCTGAGCATGCACGCAACCACCTTTTGCGATGGGGTCATAAATCTACGTTTACCCAAAGATATTTTGGCAACGGCTCCACGGCTCATGCCATCGGATGGTATGATCGTATTATTCTAGCCGATAAGAGCGATATGCTGTTTCGCTGCGACGACCCCGACAGTAATTGCGACATACACAAGGGTATTTCAGCACTCCGCGAATATAGTACTTGAGGCATGAACTAATACTTGACATTTCCAGACTGGGGCTCTTACTGGAGACCTAATGCCACTTCCGAGGTCAATGTTTGCCTATTTGCAGCCGAGTATCGGCTCCTCTCATCAGTCTGCAACCTCGGCCACACGGTAGCTGGGTCTGGGCTTGAATTATTCTGGGCAACAGATTTAATGCATAGGCTATTTCATGCCCCGATTGTCAATGAAGACATAGTAAATCATTTCTCAGATGATTACTCGGACCTTTTGGAGCTTGCGAAAACAGAGCCAGAAAAGAGTGGCATTGATATGGACGCGTTGCAGTATTTCGCCATCGATGTATGGGCTCACGATGTTGCCGCCCCCGGCGTCGGCTGCACTGGCAAACCACCGCCAAAAAAGAGTCCGGCCGAGTCAGTATCCGGCAGTCCTGCCACTGCTACTGCTACCGCTGCGTCTTCGGTGAGTGAAACCTTGGTAACTTAAACCTCAATGCAACTCAAGCACTAATGATGAAAGCAGTGCCACACCCACAGTGACGGGTCTGAACATTGCGTCTAGACGGAGTCAAGGCCAAGTATACGAGATATGATTCGATGCCAGAATAATGTTGCCTTAACGCGAGACCAGTAATAAAAGCATTGCGAGTTGGGGGTAGAAGCAGTTTTGCGCCACAGTGCAAAGGGTAAATATCTGCGGTGACCAGAGAATAATGGCTAGCCAGTAGGAATAGAAAGCCCAGTAGATATATACTAGACAATTATGACGTATCGCAGCACCAATAAAATAAAAACTGTCATTAATTAAATCGCGAACGCCCTATACCCATAACGGCGGACAGGCTAACAGATTTGTGTGCGCAAGTAATCACTAATAGACAGCAAACTGTTACTCTTGCTAGCGCTGTCAGGGACTTGATTGCTTTTATAGTGTCGGGAATGCTCTAAAAGCAGAATGCTTATGAAAATTTACAGAAAAGACTTAGCAGGTAGGTAATAAAAATAAGGATAAGAATAGTTACTAGTAATAACTTATACTTTAAGGAGATACTTAAGAAGAGTAATAAGTTAAGTTTTAAATGTATTTTATTTCTAATAAATATATAATATATTATACTTTTATATTAAAAAGCTTTTAATTACT